GAAAAAGTGAATTGGTTGCATTGCTGATTTAACAGTTACCAAAAAAAATAGATCAAGGTTATGACTGGTGTGCCGCTGGTAATCTGAGAAGGGGATGGTGAGTGGTTACCTGTTCTAGCATCAAGTAGACTGGAGAAATGCCGCCACCAAACCCACCCACTGATTTTTAGTTACTTATGAATGATTTGGGCAAGGAAACCTAATGCGGCTTTTATGGATATTATACACCTAAACATATTCTTTTTTTCTGAGATGAGATATGCAGAGTTTAAGTCTGAAGTCAAGGTTAACTGAAGACCAGAACCTGGAGACAACCAAAGAGATGGACTCGGTCTAACCACACCACAATGACTTGTATAAAAAATGCGTAGTAGGCTTTGGCAAGCTCATGTATCTATCCACATGAGCAAAAATCAAATGGTGCTATAAACTTGAGGAGAAGAGTTTTTAAGGAAGCATAAGAAAACCACAAGAACAGAAGCGTACGCAAATGCAATACAGCTAGCGATGTTAAAATCACTGCTGTGGCAATTTATTTTGTGACTTGCACTCTTACTTCCCTTTCTGTAGAGTCTACAGGATGATTCCCTTTGTCCAAAATACTGACAAGATGACATTCGTCTATAGCTTATGCTAACCGAATTAAAACAAACCTTTAAAGATTAAGGCTTGTCACATCTGTGACACTGATAACGAAACAGGGAAACATGTCGCCTTGCCCATGTAAGAATTGTATTTGAAACCAAGATCCTTAGCTTGTCACACGACTACACCATGCACAGCAAGTCCAATAAGGGATTCCAGTGCACAGGTCTAGAGTGAAATCCATGTGCACATGGAGACTTGAGCACTGGTGGGTGCAATCCAGAAAGCAGGTGAGGTGCTGCATAGGCAGACGCTCAGGGCTTGTTGCAAGAAGGGCACCGTTTGCCTTGGCAAACTTGCAAGTCAAATAGTGGGGCTTAGGCAGCAGCTGAGAGAAGTGGATCGCAGTTTTAAACTAAGCCAACCCTGAATGCTATCAAAGTCCTGCTCTTGGTATCGAAGTTCAGTTTCTAGATCCAGGAGATAACTTGTCTGCAATGTGTCTGTTTTCTGACGGTACAATTCTAGGTCAGCATTAACCCAACTTGTACGAAGTTCAAAGTTATTCTGAACTGAATCTTGCTAATACTGGAACCCTGATATGGAGCAAAGTCAGAAGTTGCTCTGAATGACTGCTTTCCTTCAACTGTCAACAAGTGATAAAGCAGCCTTAATTTTCTGAAATGCTTTCTTTAGTTTTACACGGTCTCTTGCCTTCCCTGTCAAAATCAGAAAGTTATATACAATGACCGCCTCCTTAAGAATAAAAAATTTAAGATTTCAACTCTCAATGATTCAATACATTTGGCTAATTTATTCTTTCTGTCCTAATCTTGACTGTGTTCCTCAGTTCCTGCACTATGGCAATTTTCAGTTCTAAATGTGTTTATTTTTAATTTTTGTTTGCTCCTAGGAGCTTGACTTTCCTTCTCTCATTCTCTTTTTTCTAAGAACAGTTAAATAGCTTTCAAGGGCACCTTTTTTTTTTTTAAGTGAAATGTCGTTTTGCTTTTATTGAATCAGTTCTCTAGTTAATTTCATTACAAAAAAATATTGCTGACTTTAAAGATCCCAAAGATGTATGTTTGCTGCTAGCCAGAAAAAGAAAGACAATTGAGCTAGAGCACAAAATCATCCACTACGAGTGAGCAAATTACACAAAGAACTTTTGCTTGCCCTTCCTTGATGCTGTATGATCACAGAAAAGGCTTTCTCCAGCTTCAGGCAGAGCCCTCCTGCCCACATTTCTTCTCTCTGATGCTACCACACGAGGGCTGTCACTAGTCCCTTCACATTCCAGCTTCCTCCCTGACCTATCCTACAGGGTTATTTCATCCTCTGCCTCATCCATGAGCTCCCACTGCCTACCGAAACAGGCAGTCTGTTCCCATACACATGTGCTTCAAGCACGGGTGGCAACAATTAACAAGTTTCTACAGTAGCATTTCATGTAAACAGCAAATGAGGCACAGTAACAAGCACCATCACAGACAAAAAGACCAAAAAAAACCACGCAAAGCTGCCATCTTTAACCATGCTTACAGCCAGCTGTTCTCTTCAGCTGAGAATCGCAGCTTGTCCTACAAAATACGCTCCAAATTGTCCTCAGGAAGAAATCTGCAACTGAGGCTCTACTCACTCCTCAACATTCATGCCCATTTCCAGCTTGCTGACCCCATTTTACCTGGCAAACCACTAAGCAGTTTGCCAGGGAAAATGCTAGCTACCAATACTGGCTGCAACAGGAGGAACAAGGCTGGTAGTTTTGTTTTCAAAGAGCTCCTCAACTTCCAGCTCCCATCCCAGCCCTTTACAGTAGCGGTGAGGTTTGGAAGAGAGTGAAGAAGCCGGGAGATGTGGAGGCTCAGACTTTCACACTGCAGCTATCAGCCTTGCACCGCTGAGGGCAGCCCTGCTGCAATTCGCCCGTCAGCTTCTCACTGGTACTGCACCGCTGGCGTGGCATTTGAGATTCCTCAGGGCAAAAGCACCGATGGAGGAATTATCAGTGGAGAGGCACAGCATTAATGAAGGGGGTGGGGAGAGGGAGGAGGACATGACCAGTGATGGGGATCCGAGGAACAAACCCCTTGATAGCCCACATACCTCTTTCATTGGGTGAAGGCCTACAGAAGGTCATGAGGCTGGGAGACACTAAGCCTAGGATTTTGAGGGGAAAACTCAAGGAGGCAGAAAAATCTGGACTTCAATCTGGCAGTCTGCGTAGGACAGACTCTAAGGGAGCTCTTAACAGCCATCCGGCTTGAACCAATGAAAAGCAACTCTAAAATAGAGGCAGGACAAATCTTACTTCAAGTCAAGAAGTCCTGTGCAGATGTGTTTAATAAGGGATAGAATCATAGCTATAGCATACTGCAAGTGATTCCTCTGGCACAGGTAAGATTTAAATGCCAGACACTGGTTTTCATATAAACAGGCAGGCAGGCAACAAGGTTATGAGACAGATCAAGTCTAATCTCAGTTCTCATATGTAATTCCCCTAAAGTCAAAAACGTTGCCGGCAAGATCTCCCTGTACACTCATGACCAAATCCACAGTTTTTGCTCCTGTAGAATAGCAGCTGCATAACTGGCAAGACTTTGCTAAGAGCCATCATGCCGAGAAACCTGGTAATATAAACTACTCATCAACTTCTTTAAAATAAATATTTGTTATAGCTTGATAAATAAAATACATTATCTAAGACCATTGGGTAACTCGCTTTGTGTAGCACATAACAAGCACTTTTGGACCTAAGAGAGTACGGAAGTCTGGCTCATTAACTTTTTTCTCCCTTCTCTTCTATATGCAAGCCCTCCATTCCCTCTATAACCACCATGGTTACCACACGAGATGCTTACAAAAAGAGATGGGGTTTATTTCTTTTTTACTTTTATCTGGCATAAGAGAATGCAAGATGTGAGTAATATCAAAGCCTACTGACTGACCTAAAGGAATGCTATTGTTAAAGCAATGCTGGTTTACACAGAGAAAAAAAGCTTTACATTCACAGCAGAATGTCATTATGAGAGCAGGGCTGATAATTAGTTACTTTTGTTCCCTTCATGTTGCATGCAAATTAGCTGCACTGATTAAAACCCAGGTTCAGTCTAATGTATCTCTATGACATGATTTAGAGAAACAGCTGATGAAATCTTCCTCACTTGTACCCAAAACATAGCTTTGTTCAGGTTTTCATTATCACTGAAATGTTTTTTTCAACTTAGAGTCTCGGTTATGTTGCACGATAGAATAAATGCACTTATGCTAGAGGTGACAGCAGGTCCATTTAAAGAAGCACATGATTGGACATTTTTTTACAATCGGGAGAGGAATCTGAGTAGAAACCTCTCCCAGCTAGTCCTAACTCTGTTAAAAAGTTCAAATGTACAAAATATAATGTTTGGAAAGTTAATATTCTCTCTGAATCCCCCCCTATGATGCTGAGAAAATAAAATCAATTCATATTGCTATGAAATTCTATTTTTGCAACTGGTGACATCCAAAGCTTTATCAATTATGAAGACTATAAAATCCTTACCCTAGTCCACATTTCCAGCAGAGAGGCTAAAAGCCCAGTCACATAACACAGCAATAATCTCTCTTCCACTGAGAATACTTTTATTCACAAGGCAAAAATTGGAGTTAGACTTTTAGGTTGTGGGCAAGGCACTCGCAAAGTGAGCAAATCTGTTCGTGCTCACAGAACTAATTTAATGTTTAAGTGCAACAAAAACACTAAATTAGCCATGAAGATCATGCATATCCAACAGCTTTTACCAGACATGACTGTGACCCAGGCCTCTAAGTACAGAAATATTTAAATCCTAAGGAATCAGCTCTCTTATTTTCTGCTTCACCAGATGATGTTTCCTTTTGACCAGTCATAGCAATATTGTTTCCATTATAATAATTAAACATTTATTAAAATACTATATATTTAAGAGTTAATATATGGTTTCTTTCAGTAATAAAATATGGAATACTCTTTTTTTTTTTTTTTCAATGACATTCAGACCCCAAAACTTAAAGGAGAAACATTCATGCTGAAAATTGATCAATGTACAGCACTAGGTTAGAAATAACATCTCTTGATTAAAACCCCAGGATCTTACTGTGAATCTGTACATTGATTAACAATTCACTTTTCCCTTTTCAACATCTGGCAGTGAGTGAAATACAAACCCAGACTATCCGACGCTGAAGCAAATCTAATGGCCTCAGCGTAGCTGTTACCGTCCATCTTTCTGACAGACTCTAGATACTTGTCTTTCAGAGACAGACTGCTCTGTGTCTTGGATCAGCACCACCATTTCTAACACATGCAGGGCACAGTAGAATGTCACATTGCAATCCTGGGTATTTCATGCCTGGTACTTCATGCAGTGTCCTCTTTGCAAGTCTCCATGTCTCTCTCAATGAGGCATATGCACACATTTCCAAACAAATAAGCTGCATTTTTAAAAAGATATTAAATACGACATATAAAAGACTACAATGTTGTTAAAAGAAATGGCTAGTAACAGTCAAAAGAAAAATTCCAGTTAAAAGTATGATGCTCTGAATACAGATGAAAATGTATCTTAATATATTTAAACCTTAACTGTTCATATTAACATCAGGGCTATTTATTTTGTTGCAAATATCTATTTCTTTATATACAAACAGAAGAGCAAGCACACAGATAAAAAGATGAAGACTCTGAACCTGAGCTTTATACTATTATGGACTGTCCACGTCCACTGCTGTGTACTTTTTGACAATAATGGAAAGGATACATACCTGCAGTCATCCCCTCCAGCACTGACCACGTATCTATCTCCACTTGTAAATCGAATATTAGTCAAGTGGGCAGAGTGACCTAAGAACCGTTTGTGTTTTGCCTGAAAAAAAACCCCAACAATAAAATGAGAGTCTAAATACTCTGTGTCCTCCTAAATCAAACGAGATATGCATGTTTTTATCTACCTTTTTATTGCATCACATATTTATATAATTCAGAATGTTATATAGGTTTTCAAACGTGAAAGATCTCCTGAAGGAGAACTACTATTGAGCTGCAACACAGATTAAATTGTCACCAAATGAGACGGCACCTGCAAATTGGGAACAATGCTCAAGCTAAGACAATAAAACGAAATATATCTTGTCACATGATTAACCTCTAAATTTTGTATAAAATTCCTAACACTGAAAAAATTATTTTCATTTTAAGTGTGCGAGCAGTTTACATTGTGCAGTCTCAAATCCTGAAAATTAACAGTGCTAGTGTTAGCAAAAAAGCTGTAAACTCTTCATCCATGGAAATACACAGATGAGACTAAAATTACCAGCGGTCTTCCTTATCTGTCAAACGGAGATTGGAGATGTGGATAAATAAAACTAAGGGCTTTGAGACTTTCAGTATGAAGGCACTATGCTAACGCAGACTGGCAGACAACATTAACACCTACAATAGCTTATAACAAGAGCTATTGCACAAAATGCTAGGAAAACTTTGAGGTGAAGCATACTTATGAGAGTATAGAGCTAAAGTTACATAGATGCATTAAAAAGCTACAAATTTAGAGTAGGAGATATTTCCATCATACATCTTCTAGAGAAACAATACAAGACCATAACACGAACAGTACTTTTTGCTTTAACAATGCAAAAACAAGTTCTTACAAATTTTTCAGGACATGGAAAGTCAAACAGTTTGACCATGCCAAAATCATCTCCTGTTACAAGATTGATTCCCGAGTGAGAGACACAGGCACAGTTTACATCAGCTTTTTCAGCATGCCTGGACCAGATTCCAATTACTTCATCCCCAAGAACACTGAAACAGAAAAGCAAGAGATTGTTTTGAAAACCATAGCAAAAACAATAGAGTAAGGATATAGTAAGCAGCTCTCATATTGTAACTGGTTTTATAAAAAAGTAATTTTTACATTTTATTCTTAAATACACACATCTTGTATAGGTTTTACTCTGTAGTTAATTTTTTATAGTATTCTGTAATTGCTTCTGAAATTGATTCAGTGATATAATTCCCAAAATAACGTGGCTCATGACAACACTAAGAAGCCAAGGTGAAATCAATAGTACTAATATTGTCCAGTGAGGCATTTGCCAAAAACAATGAACGAAGAAAGGACAATTAAAAATAGAATGCCATAGCATAAGCATTAGGTGAGTAAGTGTCAGCTGTTGGAATATAAAAATATGTATATTCTCATTATAACTATGTTTTGTTGATTCTGTAACATTTTCATATCAATTAGATGAAAAGTTTCCTTGAGTCCAGTGAAGATTCTTCATTAAAATCAAGAGAGAAATCGTCCTAAACAGAAAACATAATTATCTTAAGACTCCAAAACAGACAGACATAGAAGATATCCTTTGTAAAGCCTTGTGAAAAGTTGCTTTTTATTCAGCTGTGCTTACAATGTATATGCATACTTCTAAGAATGCACAGAAACAAGCACTTCTTCATTTGTTAATAGGTGAATGATTTGGGAATTTTTCTGGGATTCTTTCCCCCAAAATCAGAGCACAGCACACTACATTCAAAAAGGAATTATTTACTTCAGACATACTGAACTGGGTCAGAAAACACAGGTTTCTTGTTTTCATATAAAAGAGGTGACAAAAATAGATTAGCCAAGCAGAAAACAGAAAGCTAGCAAAATGATTTTCAGAGCCCTCTGAAAAGCTTGTAGTTTTAGTTACGTCTTGAAGCAAAATGGTCAGGATTACTATTATTTAAAGTGGTTCATATGTGGAAAATTTTCAAGTATTTATTCTCAATTTTTGTCTGAGGGTCCTAATTGAAAGCAGGCAAAGGAGCCTGAAATAAGGCACAGGAAATCAGATTTGCACAGAATATAAAACAAACTATTTAAATGTGAAATAAAACTAAAATCTTGTATCATTCTCCATGTAATTTCTAAGTCTATTTTGAATTCAATATAATAGCTTCAATGTATTTAAAAGTACTTTTGTATACCTTTTAATATGCAAATGTTAATAGCAACTTTAAAATACAGATACAATTAGTGTAATACTGTAAATAAAACTTGAATTATCACAGTCTTGTATTGTCTTTTCATGTTTTGATATGTTTTAATTTTCCTTGTACTCTTATCCCCAAATCGCTATTTTGAAGTAAATACTGCAGTATTCCAGGTAATTTGCACAGTGCAATGAAAAACTACTGAGGCTGCTAGAGATGTATCAAAGGAAGCTAGATATACACAACAAATAGAAAGGCACACAGTAAAGAGATCAGTTTTTATCGGATATCCTCACTGGTCAAACAGCTCATGTTCTACTGAGGGAATGTGCTAGGTACTTTCTTTTGCTGTACTGTACTTACCTGATCTGTTGCCAGAGCACATGGGTGCATTAAAAGAAAATATCTGACTGAATGAAGGGATGAAATATGTTTTTAAACAGTAAGTGCTTCTGTGCTTCTCCTGGAAGTTACAAGTGTTTTCAGGTGTAAATGTGTAACATTTACCTTGTCCAAGTAGCCCACGTTATCCTGTCAATCACAGCCTGGTCCACAAGCTGTTTTCCTGAAGGCACTTCATAGACTTGCCTTTTGTAAGACCCAGTAGAGACCTTTGAGACGACCACAGAGAATTTTAAATACATGAACTTGTTTGAAAAGATAAAGATGTTCTAAAGGGCTTTGAAAAGCATTTTCTTGATAGTTACCTCTTACTCTGTAACTTATCTATTAATAAAACTTGCTCAATGATTTGAAAATTCTGAAAAATCTATACAAGTGTAAAGCAACAGTGAGAAAGCATAAAAAAATCTTCAATTTTAAAATGTCTAATTAATAAAAAAATAACTGAAACATCTTGTATTCTGCACATAATACTAATTCTCTCTCTATATATTGTATGTTAGTATATGTGTGTGTATAAATAAGGCAAAATAAACTCATATCTTTAAAACTGACAGAAAGGTATTTCTCTCAGCCTGCAGACGTTGATTTGATAGTGAGAGAAGCTTATTCCACCTCTCAGACGTGAACAAAATATAGAAAGCAAAGTATGCCTGCTTTATTTTGATTTTAATTTCTTAAAATTAAATTTCCAGTCCTGTGGCTGGGAGTTCTAACACCATGATTTTGGTGCTGCTCCACGAAGGCTAGCACTGAAACGACGTGTAACGCTACCATTCTGGTCAGGGATATGAAGAATTCACAGGTCCCTGGGGCTTACAGAATGATAGACTGTACTCCTTCCTCTTTGAAGATAACCCATCAACATCATGGAGATAAAAAGGCAGGAGACACATTACAGTAATTTTGAAATCTGTTTCTCCTTTCTATGCTTATTTCTTGTATTTAATATCTAGGATAACTATTTTCATCATCCATTTATCACTACAACAAAGTACTAGTCTAGTGACAGTAACCTACTACATTTCATTACAAAACTTAGCAGTTGTCAAAGGAGAATACTTGCAGAGTATCTATCTTGAGTACCTTTTCTATTTAATATCTTGAACAACTAATGACTGATACCTGGAGAGAAGAGCTATCTGCAGAGAAGTCCATCTGGATCACAAAACTTGGGATGTCTTTGCAATAGCTGACTCGATTTAGTGTGGGACCCAAAGTCAGATCATAAAAATCCACTGCATTCTCACTGGAACCAACTGCTAGGTAACGAGAATCTGGGCTAAACCTGAACAGATAAAAGGGTTTTATGAACACAGGTTGGCACTTACAACAGATTCTAATATTTGAGTGGCACAGGTGAATTTGCATTTCCAGTATCTGCTATCCAGAACTAAAGAGGGAGGTAGAGTATTTTGTCTGCTAAGCAAAGTAACTTTTGAAACAAATAAAATTTTAAGGGAAAGTATATGCAGTAGAAGGTGGCAATAATTTTGGTACAGCTGTCACATAGAAGTGAACTGCGAACATCTCTGGAATAACTGTTCATTATCTGATCTCATTACTCTCACAACTTTGTGACATGCCCCTGATGAGTTTGACTCTCTAACACTGTACTTACAAGGCTACAAACTAGAAAAATGAAATGCTGTAAATGAAGAAAAGCCAGACCTTCTAGATTAAATGTACTGAATAAAAAGATGTGAAATCAAAGCTTTGATCTGCCCAATGTATCTTTGCATGGTGGTTTCTTTCCTCCAGTTTTCCTTTCTAGTCTTAAAACTCAGTAGCTTCCTGAGCTGAACAAATTCTTTACAGCCCCTTTTGTTACTAGGGAACTTTCTTTATTTCTCTTATCTCCAAGACATACCGTGGGACAGCTTTCTGATTCCAGCAACCCCCTAACTCTGAGCAGGGCTCTCCTGCCCTTCTGCAGCAAGGTCCCTGTTCACTTGTATTTGTCCCACTCACCCCACTTTGCTTTCCAGAAGCTTCCCTGAGCTGATCACGATCAATTTATCTCACAGGAGGAACAGCCTCGTCCCCCATTCAGGAAACAGAAGCAAAATTTTACTTCTGCTAACTCCTTTCTAATAAAACACATTAAAGATCAAACTGATAGACAGACATTTCCATTATCTCTCACAATCCAGTCTGCATCTGTAAACTTCTGATCTCATTTTACCACCTACACATCATCTCATCCTGCTCCTTTTCACACATTCTCATCTGCCCCCTGATAAGAGTAGTCTGTTCCTATTGTACATTTACTTCCCCATTCACCCTTCATTTTAACTAACCCTTGGCAATATTATCATCTGACACCCCCCCTATGGTACTGCCTGGTTTTTGACTGATTGCTATCTCTTATCTTCATGTACCTCCCCCTTCCTTTTTATTCCTAATATCAGAGTAGTCCCACAATCTCCACAATTCACTCATTGATTCCAGATCGCTGAAATATCATTGCAATGCTCCTCAGAACATAAAATTGTATTTTTAAAAAATCAAAATAATACAGATTTCTAGAGTACTACAAAAGACAAAGGCATTGTATTTTCTGACCTGATATCTTGAATAGCTGATCTTCTGTCCCTTTTTTTCCCCCAGATTTTTAGAGAAGTCACAAGCAAGATAATAAATTCTCCATTTTTCATGCCAATAGCTACCATATCACCTTCTGGGCTGTAACAAACAGTACGAGCTGCATGTCCTAAGCTGACTTTGTTCAGCATCTTCTGTGAAGAAATAAAAACCCAGAAGAGTAAATGTTTCTATTTGTTCATATTCAAAAAATACCTTATGCTAACGGTTTGCCACTATCAGATGGATTATTCTCAGACTACATTAACAAACAAGTTTCAAGTCCTCAACACCACCATAAGTCTAGGATTTTTTTTTTCCTCCCTGAACAACAACTTTTCTCCAACACCTACCTTTTCAGCAATATCCCAGAGTCTTACTGTGCCATCTTCTGCAGCAGAAAGGAAAAAATCTCTGGAAGGATGCGTTGCTAGGCCCCAGATTGGTCCATCCATATGACCATTAATTAGAATGTTACATGCAGCATTTTTCTCTCCAACTTCAATTATTTCAGCATTTCTTGTCCCAACGAGAATTTTCCCCTTGAAAAACATTGAAAGAATTATCTCTGATACAATACATTAACTACTCATTATGAACAGTAGTAAAGATATAATTCAAAGCTATAGTTCTGCCAAGAAGGTTCGCTGAAATCAAGTAAACAAATAATCAAAGACAATTTATTTTTTCAACTCCTCTATGATTTGAGTACAAAACTGTATATAAATCATGATGCTAGTTGAGTTATTGCTTGTAAGTCAGATATTTGAAGTGTGAAAAGAAATCCTTAGTTAGTCTTTAATAAAAATACATACAGAATATTATCCTAAGATCTCACAAAGTAGACTTTTTTCTGCTGTAAAATCAGTTGTAGACACCTTCTAGCTCAACCTTTAATTTCAAATACTATTATAAGAGAAAGAGGAAGTAAACAATTTATCATATATTTAATTCTATAGATCAACCCACAAATTATAGGCTTTATTTTTACCTTGCCTCTACAAACAGAGCGAACACAGTCCGTCATTTGTCCTGTCTCTAGTCTGAAGGCACGACATCGTTTCAGCTCTTGATCCCATAGCTTAACTGCTCCTCCTTCCTTTGATCTATCAAGAAATCAGGAATAACAATGAGTATAATGGCTGACACAAAAAAGGCAATTAATGCGTGAAAGAACTATATCATTCAGTGTAACGTATCGAAACTGAGGAATTTAGTTTTAAATCATTAAAGATTCCATTTGTTTTTACATAACAGGTGATGTTAATATACTGAACCTCCTAGCTAAGCAAGAAATACTGATTCAAAGTCCTCGTCTACTACTTTACAGAACAAGTTGAAAGACGGTTGCTGCTAAGCTTAGTCTGAATTAGTAGCTCTTAGGGAATCTGTCTAGTCAAAGGAACAAGTTAAGTGTGTGAACAAACTGCCATCTTATTATTAAGACAGGCAGAGATTATCAAAATCTAGTTGAGGGAAACAGAAAAGAGATGTATTTTACTACTGTGAAATAAATTACACAAGATTTTCACTTTTGTGAAAGTGTCACTATTTTCACTGCTGTGAAATAAATGACAAAGATTCCAGTTGAGCTGGGTTGTAAGTTTTACCTGTCTTCAAAGAGAAAAGCATCTCCCCCAGAGAAAATATAATGTTCCACAGTACTGAGCTGCCAGTGTTACAAATTTGGTTATTGAATGAACCCTGACAAAGAACTCCAGAATGTTTAATCACAATTACTGCTTTTGTACTATTATTACTAAAAGAACTGTAATGAATTATAAATTGCTAGTCCTTGTAATATAATATTCTTTGCTTCCCAATAGCACTGTTTTGACATATGATTGGTCATCATACTCAGCAAAAAGATTTTATCAAAAGAGGCTGGTGAATTGCAATTAAGAATGCCAAGGCAGAAGCAAACATATAATTTTCCTAAATGTAGAATTTGTTTTGTATACTTTCAATACTCCATTTTCCCACAGGAGACAAATTATTGTTTCTTACCATTACTCATTACTGTTTCTTTCAGGTCAAATACTAATTATTAAGAGACTTGAAGCTAAGTGGTAGAGAGAACATTCTCCAAATAAAATCACAGTGATGTTTTATAAATACTAGAAGAAAGTATTTCAAGCACAGGAATAAGTTTTCAGCTGGGTCTGAATATCAACCAGGATCTTTAAAGAGTATTTAAGGAAAAGGTAGTGACTGGCCTGTGTCCAGTACAATGGGGCACTATCATGCCATCAGATGGACTGTGTTACAGCTGAAGCATTTTTCTTTTATCATTAGCAAGGTGCTAAGAAAAAATTAAAATGCTTGAAGAGATATTTTGCTTACAACCCCAGAAACAAAGGATGCTGCTGTACCTTAGATTTGAGAGAAGACAGTTTGCCATCATAACTAAACAGATCCTTCCTTTAATAGAAGCTGTGCATTATGCTGTTTTAATATGTATTATTCAGTTATTTAATCACAGTTGGGCAAATTACTTGGACTAACAACCTCAGTTCAACTTCAGAAAAAGACGTAACCCACCAAGGACTAGGTAACTTTTTAATGCTTAAAGTTATATTTCAAACTAAATGTTTTTGCCTTCTCTCAAAAATAATACTGTTGTGATAAATACCACTGAACCATTTAGTAAAATGATAAAGTGATTTCAAGGCTACTTTTGATTATAATAGTTCAGCCCTTTTCAGCTTAAGGAGGGAGAACTGTGTCATCTCTTTTACAATTCGTGTATTTGTACTTGGAAACATTACCTGACTGATGTAATGCAGTATAACTGATAATGCAATATAATTGATAATCCATTCACATAATTTATTTTACACTTGCCTATTATTTTTAACCAAAGTAATGTAAAGTCATCATAAAATGCCTGAAGAAGCTTGCCCATGTGCTTTAGAAAGATGACTGTTATCTAGAAGTTAAAATTATGAAGAACTACTTGTATACCATTTAGATTCTGATTCTTCCCCCTTGGCTTTAGGTATATGAGCAAGGCATCCAGGTCAGGATCCTAGCCACTCTAGGCTTTCTCTAATAATCAACAGAAAAAAATAGGTACTTGAACCTCATGTGGGCTTACCTGGACTTTGGAGGTGGTGGCTACTTTTTTCCCTACCAACTATTCAGGGATCTGAAAGTGACTACTCTCCTAGCTTTGATGTCTCAACTGCCTAGTGTTAGATGGGATGAATCCAAACCATTTTTAAAGTATACATGTGCAGGGAGAAAAAAGAAAAAAGACGACTCACGGCCTTTCTTTGCCTCCTGTAACAATCAAACCATCTCTTAATGTGGTATACATTGTGAAAACAGGTCCATTGTGAGCTTTGGCCACAATTCGTATCAACACATGATCTTTCCAAACACAAACATCTCCACTGATAGTACCTGTAAATGTCAAGTTATTCTGAAAAGGGGAAAAACATACTCATCATCTGATTCTGAGTAAGGCAGGAAGAAAAACATTCAGAAATAATGATCATCATTTGCTTTTAGGCTACATTGCTTTTATTTGCTGCTGTAGAAGAGCAAGTTGTGGAAGGGGTAATAAGAACCTGTAGGGACAAAACAATAAGCTACTATATTCTTTCTTGAAGTCTGAAAGATGCTTTCTTGTAGCTAATAGGCTTTGCACTGCAAGAAGAAATGCAATGACTTAAGCTTCAGCCATAGGCTATGTTTTCAGCCTATCAGGTGTGCCAACTGTGGTAAAAAAGTAGAAAACCAAGAATACTTTTGACATTTCACACAAACAGGCAATTTGCACCCCCTTGCTACATACGTTATGGTTGCATTCATTTTTGTTGTTAGGTGAAGGTACTCACTGGATTACAGTAACCATTAGTGTACAAAGAAAACAATCTGACTTAGCTCAGAACTAAAAGCTGCCTGTTCTTCTTTACTTCTGCTTCCTGTTTTTGAAAGGTAACAGAAATAAATTTAACTACCTCTGAAATTTAAGGGCAATTTATTAGGATACAATTAAAACCAACAGGAACTGATTATTGAGCAAAACTGTTTTGGTAACTTATGTGAACAATTCTCAAATTACATACTATGTGTAGTATTTTAGAGTACCAGCATGAGTAAATAAAAGAGGACTGGAAATGAACTTGGGAGCAGATCCGAGATTGTCCTCACAGCATAACTGTTGGGCTGTTTCCAATCCCTCTTTAGGAGCACCTGAACTAGCTCCTTCTGAGAGAAAATCAAGGAAGAAAAGCACTCCCAGAACTGCTCCCTATGGAGAACACACCAGGTTTGGCTTTATTCAGTTTGCACAGCTTTTTACAAAACCCCTGCAAGCTTTGCATCCTCAAACAACCTCATACCATACTGCAGGACATTCAGCATACAGCCTGATTTTCATGCTAAGAATCTGTCCCTCCATAAGAAAGTTCACAGAGGTTTTTCAAACCCCAGACTAATGCCTGGGCTGTGCGTCTCTAACAGTTACCTTTTGGAAGATACCTTATTGCTTTGTAGGACTCTCTCTTAAATCAGAGGTACCTGAGAGAGAGAGACACCACTCCAGAAAAGAGACAGTCTTGTGAGAAATGAAACCACAGGCCAGTTAGAGTCTCAAAAATCAAAATCAATAGTATAAATTCAGTCTGGACCCAACAGGCAGATCAGCAAGCAGGACAGTAATGCACGCAATAAAATAGAAACACCACTTCACACAAGAAGTCTATGGCTATCTGCCCAGCTGAAGAGATGAGTGCTGCTCATACAGAGCAACTCCTGAAATGGCAAAGAGGTGGAACTTCACAACAAAGCCCTCATCTGTCAAAAACAACTCAAAGCAAAACAAAACCCTACTGTGATCTTCTAAACAGTCATAGATGTTAACAAATGCCCCAGGACAATGCTGCTCTCAGATCACCCTTGACTAATAATGCATACAGATTATAATGCAATCACCCCCCGGTGGGCATAAAATTAGCCTCATTTCTACTGTTTGGTTCCTGCAGTCTAGAGTCAGCTTTGGTTTACCTGGATTAAATACCAAGCAGCATATTATCAGTCCAAAGCACCTATGTTTGTTTCTTTTGAAAACACACAAATCCACAATCTTTTTTCTTTTCTGGTCTAAAGAAAGCTAGTATTAGTTCTAACTAGCAGACAAGTATTAGAAATGCTAAACTGAGTTTAATAAAACAACTGACATACTCATAAGCAGGTCAGAAAAGTCTCATTGAACTGAATAAAGGCAGAAGAGTAAAAAAATTTTTGTTTGTATGCATTTTAAAATAGTTTGTTAAGGTACATACCGCTCCAAAAGCTACAGATAGCATTGTTTGCATTCGGGCATCTTCTATGGAGCTCAGCAGCCCTTTTTTACTGAGAAGGGCTCTTCCAGCCAGTGTCCAGAACCTCACGTGTTTTACTCCCACAGAAACAAACTGGGTATCTGAATCTGGTCTGAATTCTGCTACAAATATACGCTGGTTATGACCAGCTCGGCTAGCAATTTTGGCACCTGGCAGAGAGAAAATGGACATTTTGAACTAGCTGAGAAAAATATACATTTTAAAATTAAAAATATAAT